ATGCCGCTCACGCGTGATTAGCGTCGCGCGCGGCATTCGGTGCGGCGATTTTTGTATGGGCTTGGCTTAACGGTCCATTGTCCATAAGTTGCTGGTGGGGTTAGAGAACTGATAAGACCAAAGTTCCAGACATCAGTGAGCCAACAAGCGTCACCTTAAGATCTCCGCAGTTATTTAAGCCTCACTGTACAGAGCTTGTGCCATGTAAAGGTTGTCCTTTTGAACTTAATTTGACTTCTTTATTAATCAATTGCCTAAAATTGTTATCAGAGAGCGTAATCGGCTCTCTGATGCTCAGTCGGAAATAAATATTACGTCTCAAGCAGAGTGGAATGGTGAGGGTTATTTGGTTTCCGCATGATAGGGTAACTTTGTAACTACCTTAATTTCCGGTAGATAAGCCCGCGCCAATATCACGTAAAAACACCTCCGCTCGTGCAGTGTAATTTTACATCTACCGTAAATTTGCCTATAGAGGTAATTCGATGCCCTGATTACGAAAATGACTTTCATTTTTAGCGGTGGCGCCATCTGGCGCCAGTTGGCGCCACCTTGTCACGACACCTGTTTTCACCAAATTTGGTGTAAACTTCCGTATAGGGGTTATTTGGTGTCCTGATTACGAATATGACATTCATTCTCGGCGCTGGCGCTATTTGGCGCCTATTTTCTGCTCGTCTGCGCTCTCCAACCGAGAAATATGCGTTAATGTTAAAAAAACGAATGTCATATTCGTAATCAGGGCACCAAATAACCCCTATACAGAAGTTTACACCGATTTTGGTGAAAACAAGGGTCGTGACAAGGTGACGCCAACTGGCGCCAGATGGCGCCACCGCTAAAATGAATGTCGTTTTCGTAATCAGCATATCGAATTACCCCTATGGGCAAGTTACGGTTGTCTCTAGATGTACGCAAGTGCACTGCACCAGCGGAGGTGTTTTTACGTGATATGGCGCGGGCTTATCTACCGGAAATTAGGGTAATGGCAAGGGACAAGGAACCTGTATTTTGAGGGTTGATACTTCATGTTCCATATGCAAACTTCATCAAATCATACATACCCTGATGTTTACTCTTTCATGCCCCACGTCGCCGTCAGTGTGTGTCGCTGTCAATGTGTTAGCGGACGTGAGCCACGGCCGATGCGTAGGGACATGACCAGTTTTTTCAAGCCGTGTATTTGCCGCTACATATTATGATGAAAAATATGTCGCGACGATCAGAAGCTGAAAGGAGCCTATGGGAATCTACATGATTGAACTATTCTTATTCTTTAGCGTTTGTCCCCATTGTAGCAGGGTTCGCTTTTAGGGTATATTAATGCCACTTTCCCCGATTCAGCGCTTGGTCAGTAGGCCAACTAGGGGCCGGAGAAACATTGAACGTCATCAGCCATGTGGTGTGACATGGGTGTTCGTAGGCCGGCCTGTCACGGGGCCTGTCGCCTGCATTCGAATGTCCGCGATCAGCTCAGCTCACAAAAGTGAGCAGTTCCCAGTGGCACCACTTGGAGGAACGGACCCCACCACCTTATATGATTAAACAATAATGCCTTTTTAGTCTCCAGAATCCTGAAATCCTGAAAAAGTGAAATTCCGTTCGTTTCACAGGCTTATGCTTAAATTGTCCGATTGTAGCTGTGAAGTGTTCGGTAATTCATGGCTCAAAAGCTCACGATTACGATTAGAAAAAAAAGAAAGTGATGAACTACTTCAGCAAGTAATCCTATTTGGAATGCGTCACGCATTGTCTTTCCGTTCTGAACAGCATTGCCGCTTGAATTCAAGAACTACTAATACTAATACTGACTAACTAACTAACTAATAACTTCAACTACTGGAGTAGGGGGGGGGGAGAAGTCACTTCGCTTTTGGCGCAGCTCACCATACCTTCGATTACAGAGGATGTTGCCGTTAATGAAAAATTACGACAAAACTTTCTTTGAATATCTCCTCATAGGTAGAAGCAGGCCCTTCTCCACCTCTGTCGTCAGGATTTGACGCCATTCGTCATCGTTGTCGAGTTCGTCCAGGAAGGGCTACCGTAATCGTTTCGGCCTGAAACTGCTGCGTGACTTCTTCAGTAGGATGACTGATGGATAGCTTTCTAAAAATGTAGCTCTGACCAACAGAGACCTCTTCCAACTGAATTTCGGACAGATTTTCAATGGTGCGTGAATCGTCGGAGGCCTATTCGAACTCGCGCCGTGCTCAATTCTTCTAATGTCAGCGGGGCGGGAAGCGACCATGAAGTTCCCAGCTGAAGTGAAATGTGCTCTTCTATTCTTAGTTGGCATCATGCAATGTCAGCGCATATTTGACACCATTTCGAATGCGAAGGGAGGTGCCTTTTTTATTATCCTCCCACCCTCCCTGCGTGAACCTGCTTTGTAGGCCCACGTGAATACAATCAGCGATTTTTTTTTCAAAGACGAGTGTATTACTTGAAAAGAACGGGCTAGAAGAGCCTGACTGGCCAAGACGAAATTCGATCCGCTTGAACATTGACAGTGTGGGTGGGGACGACGGTCAATTCAATCGTCGGCTAATGAGGTCACGCCGCTCATGCGGCGACCTCGCACGCGGCGGTTGTCGTCCGATGGCAGGGCAGCATCGTTGGCATTGGGGCGAGGCGTCCTACTTTCGGTTCTCCGGCATGGCCAGCGTCATTGACGCTAGAGCACGGTTGCCTTATTTCGCTTCTGTTGTACTCTAACCATTTTTCTCTATTTATTTCCATTTTGGTACTCTGAAATGCTTCTGGGGAGGCTGAACAACCATTTTTTTGGAGCTTCACACTCCTTTCACCGACGTTCCTTTCACTTCCGAATGTAATAGTAAGTTGTTCAGGTCCTCATAAATTGAACCACTTCCCTCCACGAGCAATCGCTCAAACCTTCATTCCGCCACTAGAACAAAACTCTAGACTGAAGATTCCGGACCACGTTAACGATGACTATTTCAAGCGAAGAAAAAGGTATCTGGCAAGGAAGAAGGGAATATTTCCACTGCCCGTAAAGGTTTAATTCCAGGTTTGTTTTCTATCCAAAACCTTTTTTAGTGTCGTTGGTTTTTTGAAGAAAAGAATAGGTTTTTATTATTTCGACTTTGCAATGTACTCTCGGCATTTCAGGTAACCGAGCGGAGAAATACCAATCAGAAAGCAATCGATGCACCTATCTGCAACGCAATCAAAGAAACCCTGAACACAAATCACTCTTCGGTTAATTTGAGATCGTGGCTCATGTTGAATAAGAGGCAATGTCCTCAACATGATGTTGTAATTTTGCTGTTTACAATAAATTGTTTGTTGATTTGATTTGATAATTTTTGTGTCCGAAATTAGGAATGGGAACCTGGCAGTGATTTTGACGAAGTAAATTCGTTTTCTTACTGTTCGTTTTTCGTTTCGTCAGCGAACGATTTCACCATTTCTACCTTCTCTGATTGAGACTTCCGTACACTGATTGTACTTACGTCAGTACAAAGGACCAAGGCGTCTTTGAAAAAAATATCACTACATGTAATTAGAAATGATTAACTTTTAATGAACTCATCATCATTGAGGTTGAATTCAAGCAAGTCAGCTGAAATACACAAGGTGAACAGAATTTACTCATCTGACGAGCCTGAATCCTGAATCATCATTTCGAGGAATTAGCTATAAAAAGATCTTATTTTTGTTATGAGGTGATGTGACGCATGCAGAGTAATCGTCATGGGACAGCGCCTCCGAAATAGAGTCGTTATCTATGTACACCATCCTGAAGGGGAAGTTGAACAATGTTTTTGTTAATGAATGGGAAAACATATGACCACGGAATAGAGTAAGACGAAGTTCGAGGGCTTATTCATGTTAATAATCCCTGAAATAAGCAAGTCGAACGATGGCTCGAGCGATCCAGTCGCTATTCCTGCCAGGTCAGCATGAATGATTACACGAAGAATAAAAACTGGTCAGATTGACTCTTTGGTAACGATGTAGGCACATATAGCTGAGACAACACCCCATTTGGACTCTTGTCCCATGAAAGCCTTAGCAAGGTAAAAATGACAAAATCCGCTCCCAAACTCTGCTGTGCGTTGAGTCAGTAATATTCATTTATAGGGTACTTGTGATTCTCTTACACAGCACGCTCGCATACTTTCCCCTACTAATGTCGGGCCGTTGTTTTCCACACCATCTTAATTAGGTACTTGAACAAAACGAACCCCTTCTGGGCGTGGAGTCATGGTCAATTAATGCATGGCATTATTGCACAGCGCTGTTTTCACCTGAGTTGGTATTATCCCTTAACAAATCTGAACGGCACACGCGAGCATCGTTGAACCCTCCGGTTGTGTGCCAGCGTAGGTCATAAATTGCTAATGGGAGGTGCACGCAAAATTGCTGATGGAAAGCTTACGCGGAATAATGCCAACGGTAAGGTAAACTTTGGGACTTACGGGTATTTAGCGATTTAGGGATAAAGAGGTGTTATAGTTCCTCTTGATGCTGTGGCGCCTAGACCATCAACATCCAATGGAGAATCGGCGCCGTCAAGAGGTAACAACATTATCGTGATTAATGAAAATACAGGTATCATTAAGTTCTCGAGTCCCGCCCTCGACAACGGGTGCCCCACACGGGGAGCGATTCCGCGGTATTTTGGAGGACAGCAAACAAGGAGTTCATAAGGTTGTGCGCTATCCTATACCAGGTAGGCAAGCGAGACTTAGTACTGCAACTCTTGCTGTCATTTATTGAATATGCAGTAATTTCTGTTTTAGGACAGTCGTGTGTTATATGTTCGAGCACCTACGAACAACAATGCAGGGTCGGGTCGTGTACAGGTGTACAGGATGCAGGAAAGAAGGAAAGACTATCAGCATTGTGGTACTGCAGCCTTTTACAGCTAGTATAGTGACGACAGACTACTTTCATGACATTCCAGGTTTTGGATGGATGCGACCTCGTAGGAGATCCCGTTTATCTCCCGCATGTGTGCCGGCCATGGAAAAATGCACAGGAAAGGGTAAATCGGATGGTATGTGAGGTAATGAAAGTGATCCAAAATTGTAGAGATCGTTTAATAACCATTTTTCAGACATGTCACGAGCTTTCCAAGGATGCGCGAAATGCGAACTTAAAGCCAGGCAGCTCTACCAAAGGATTGTGAACCAAGTGTTTGATAGTGACGTTTCAGGTGAAATGGAGCGCGACGACATGCTTCATTACTTCTACAGGAACGGATACGAAGCACGCCGTCGCACGATTGCGAGGTCAGTATGATATGATATGAAAAAACGAATACGCACGAAAAACTCCGTCGCAAACCGTCGCCTCATCATAAGCTAAATCTCCCGAGCTCTACAATCAGAACCAGCTCTCTACTATGATAGTATTATACGAAGCGAACTGTACAAGGTAGTGTTTAGAGCAGCTGCCAAGCTGCACGACAATCGTGTTACCATGGTCAACGTCCCGCCGGATTACGCATTCCTAGCTGATGGCACCCCGTTCCTGCAGCTCCTTACTCCGGAGCTGCACATTTACTTCTCTGCAGCGAGCATAGAGGTAATTCTTGCAAACGGTTGTACTCACAAGTTTTCTGGTGATCCTGACGCTTCTTCACTTTAGAGAGCGTGCCGATGCGGATTGCAGGCGTTGGTGGCGGACGGTGTGCATGATCTGCAGCCTAACGCCACCAACAAAACAGGTCAAGTATATATCATCCACGGAGTGGTGGCGAACTCCGTGGATATGTCGCTGCTTTACGCCATCACATTAAGGTATTTTGTGTCCTCGATAGTCGACTCCAATGCAAACTTTGTGCTTTTGCCTTTTGGAAGAACGAGCAGATGTACGACACGATTTTCGGGACGACGAGGGACGCGATCGCCGCCGCAGGAGGAGCGCTGGATTTACGGATTATTGTGGATTTTGAAAATCGCGGCAAAGAGGGCCTCCCTGATGCATCTGTAGAGTGGTGCGCTTTTCATTCAGCGCAGGCTTGGAATAGAAAAAGAGATGCACTTGGATTGCGCCCACAGGTAGGCTGCGGTGTCCTCTTATCAAGCAGTGGTGGGATAACATCAAGGGGTTAGTTTTTCTACCCTCGGGTTTGCACCGCAGGGTCCCTGCTCTTTATCGGCCCCCTGTTTCCAGGAACCATGCGGCATACATTAAATGCCGCATGTTCTTGGACTATTTGAAACAAGAATTGGTATAAAGGTATTTTCAGGAAAATGTGGAACAAGTGGAACAAGTCGGACCTCAGGACCAGTAATATTGCAGAAACTTTTAACAAGTTGGCTATGTAGAAATACCAATGCCTTATATCAGTAGTTTCAATATCGATGCTTTTCAGAGTACTCGGAGATCTCTCGGGAGGGACCAAATACCCACGAATGAGTGAAATTCTTTGTGTGTGGCAGAGTTGCGCCATCAATGCCAGAGCAGCTATTGTTGGCGCGGAGAGGGTTGGTTTCAACACTAGCTCATCTGCCTTCGTACTGAATGCTACTTCATCATTCGATATCATTCGTTCGTGGTGAGCGGTGGCTCTATCACTATCTGCTGAGCCAATCAATTATCACCGGCCTCTTACCTATCTGGTGGAAGTGTGGAAGTCGTTCGTCAATATTGGATACGGTTACCCTTGTGGCTGGGGTGTTGCATCGTCAGAAAATAGCCACCGTTAGAGGTCTATTTTTCCAAAGTTATCAATACATTTGTCGATTTCACATTTGCTTGCCCAGCGTTGTGAAGCTATTCTTTCGTGACAATATGAACTCTTGGTCTGCGGCACCTGTCATTCAGGACTCGAGCTCGACTACAGCTACGAACCGCTGGACTGCTACCACGAGAATTGCAGGAACAGGTTGATGCCGTTACAAAGTCGAACAGAATTGCAGACGGGATTAAAAAAGTTATCACCGCCATTACGCGTGAGCTCCAATCGCTACACGTTGAAAACATCGAGCTCAAGAAAGAACTTGTCAAACTGCGGGAAAGAACAACAACTCAAGAACAGCCATCGAATCTTAGTAGTGCTCCTCCTGTAGGTTCCCAGGTTCATGTAGTTACTAATATGGAACAAGTTCCCTCTGAGCGAGCACTTCCCTATGAGGAAGTAGAAAGACTCCGTTCGATAGTTGTAATTGGCGTTCCAGAATCAAATGCTCGCAGTGCCAGAGAGCGCTTATCGTATGACTTCTCTAGTGTTTGCAATATTTTTGACTTTTTGAATATAGAATGTAATCCGGTCACTGTATATCGTCTTGGTAGGCCACTATGGCAGAAGTAGGTTGTTGAAAGTGGTTCTACCGTCTCGCTCTTTCCAGCGGATTGTTTTAAAACGAGCGCCCCGTCTCCGCTACTTCCCTGGACAGGCGTACCGTACCTTGGCGACGGACTTTTGGTGCGTCCGGGGTTGCACGCGGCGAATCGCGCGGCGGGCTGCGCGGCGATCCGGACGAGGCAAGTCTTCGCGGGCTCCTGCAGTGGAATTCAACACGTCAGAACGTGTGCAGATCGCGGATAGAATCCACAAGGTTCTGCTTTGAAAGAAACTTCCCACTCGCGGAGATCGGTGAAATGCAGCGGTGTCAGTGAGAAGATTACAGCGAAAGGAGATGAAAGAGAGAAACTTCATAGAAATGTCACTATTATCATATTATAAATATGAATAAGAAGCACTAAAAATGGAGTCATTTAGTGAGATGTTATTTATTGTCAACTCTATATCTTTGCTAATCGCGGCGCTCCTGTCCTTGGGAGAAACTTTCAAAACAGGGCCAATGGAAGGTGACACTAGAACTAAGCTCATGAGAAGGGAAATACGCTCGGGAGAACAGAAATTGCTCACATCCTCCACGAGAAACTCTTCCCCTCAGGCTTAGTCCCAAACAAATAATTGGTTGAATCTCTCCGCTCATGGGATTCCCCCCCCCCCTTAACAACAAGCCCCTGATTGTTAGAAAAGCTTTTTGCTATTGCCTTTCACTCACGCGTTTGAATGTAATTCGAATCGCAGAACCTTGTGGATTCTATCCGCGATCTGCACACGTTCTGACGTGTTGGATTCCACCGCAGAAGCCCGCGAAGACTTGCCTCGTCCGGATCGCCGCGCAGCCCGCCGCGCGATTCGCCGCGTGCAACCCCGGACGCACCAAAAGTCCCGCACCCGTGTACCTTAGGGAATCCCTAACCCCGGAACAGAGAAGGCGTAGACAGGAACAAACAAGTCATTTGGTCAGAAAACCGTGTGAGTGCACCACCCACTACTGGTGACCTTGACGCTACAAGCAATCCTCATGTGACTAATGAAGGCGTCGAGGGAAACTGAGAAATATTCCTCGGTTTCTTCGTCCGCTGAAGTTTTACTATGCAAATGTAAGATCGGTCTCAAAAAATGCAGAGTTCCTCAAAGCTGAGTTAGCTAACAGCTATGATATATATGCTTTTTCAGAAACATGGTTAAAACCTAGTCACATACTTTCTTCTGTACTCGGTGATGTTATTGCAAACTATGACGTCATTAGATGTGATCGTTTGAAAAACCCGGAGGTGTTGCGATTTTTGCTCAGCAAAGCCTTTCGTTATCTTTAGTATTTTGTGAGTCAGTTGACGATCATTTGAAACACTTTGTGTAGATGTATATGCTGATATCATTGGCTGGTGTCGAAAACGATTACTTATGAATCTCTTGTTCCAAAGCAAGCACTGAGTTACTTGTAAAAGCACTCAGTGATTTGATATCATGCGATAAACCTAGTATCACAGTAGGTGATTTCAATCTCCCGAATTTTGTCTTCAAAAGGAGAACCCTTCTAAATCTTCTCTATGTTATCATGTTTGAAAGAGTTGGTTGAAACCTAACCTTCACGCAGCATGTAAAAGAATTCACCAGGAGCGGTAGTATGTTGGATTTTGTTTTCTCTAACGTTTCACACCTGGTTAAAGGCCTAACGGTGTCACCGCCTGTTGGTTTGAGTGATCATAACAGTATCAAATTTGAAATCATGTGCAAGCTGTCCTATCCCGTGTACGTTTATAAACGTAGGTACTCTAGATGTAATTTTGAACAACTTCGTTCCAGCCTAGCTAATCGTAGATACATTGGGTCCCTTTGCTTGAAACCAAAAGCAATGTAAATGACAAGTACGAACTTTTCATATCTATCCTACACAGTTCGATTGATTACTATGTGCCCTGGGAGAAAGTCATTGCTTCAAATCAGTTCAACACTTCCTAGTCATCTGCAGAGAATGTGCGGAAGTCTCTTTCATGGGCTAGATTACTAGACTTTGTGACCGTGTGACAGCTGCTTACCTCAGAAATTTTGTAACGTAAAAGGAAAAAGGATAAAGCATTTGCCGTTGATCAATCCCTTTTTGGGATGCGGCACGCATTCTACTTCCATTTGTACATTCGTAGTGGCGTTTGAATGCGATGTGGCCTATACAATGACTTGCGGGGGCCAGCCGATGTTCAAGTCAGTGTTTTTATCCTCCCAGACAAGTCTGGTACCAATTAACCGACCCCGGAGGGATGGAAGGCTTGGTTGGCCCGGGCGACTCACGACCCAGGATTTGATCCCGGACCGCTCGCGTGGTGAGCGCGCCACTTGTCACTACACCACTTCCGCCCGTTCAAGAAATATAATGATTATTTGGAGAAGAAATTATATTAGCTCTGGGGATGTCCTGTCTTTCCATAGGCATTTGAGTAGAAGAATCAAGGAATCTCAAACGTATCGGTTGCTTGAGAAATGGTGAAATTATAGCGATTTCACCTATCGAGAAAGCTAACATTAGCAAACATTTTGAGAACGTTTTTCCAAGAAGATGATGGAAATATCCCAAAATATGTTCATCCCATAACTGTTACAATGAGGGATTTTCCATGGTTCACAGCTTCTACACTGTACGATTTAATCATGAAATGGCCTGGTACATCCTCACTTACTCCTGATTTTATACCATTCTTTGTTGTTCAAAAACGGCTGATGTCATTTGCGGTCCTCTAGCATACATATTCAATCAGTCACTCACATTTGGTGAAATACCTCAGATGGAAGCATTCTTTTGTCACACCTATACTGAAAAAGGAACCTTCATGGCACCCTAGAAAACTACCGTCCTGTAAGCATCACATCTATCTTTTGTAGACTTTTGAGAAGGTCCTTAAAAAATCACATTAATCATCATTTACTGATAAATAATATTATTTCAAGGCATCAGCACGGTTTTGTTCCAGGCCGTTCGGTTGAAACAAATATGATCGAATATCTGAACGACTGGACTGAAACTCTCGATAATAAGCACCGTTGCGACGTGATTTACTTTGACTTCGCAAAGGCGTTTGACAGAGTTTCACACAAAAAACTGATTTATAAACTAGAAATCCTTGGTTTTCATCCCGGTCATGATTAAATGGATTTCCACTTACCTGAGTGGTAGAACGTTCCAAGTTAAACTCGATGGCTCGTTTTCCGATATTAAAAATGTGAAAAGTGGGGTGCCTCAAGGAGGTGTATTATCACCAGTACTTTTTAATATATTCACAGCTGAGCTTCCTAATATGCTGCACGAAGCAGGCGTTACGGCCAAGGTTTATGCGGATGACCTAAAAATCTATAAGCCTATACTAAGCACTGCTGATTTTCATAGTATGCAGAGGCAGTCGATATAACAGTTCGTTGGTCTGTGGAATGGCAACTACCCATGTCTCCACATAAAACGGTGTACATGCAGTTAGCTGTCGGCATTCCACCCTCAGTGAACTTATACACTGTTAATGGGGTTCCTCTCTGCTGTTCAGTCAGTCAGAGACCTAGGTTTTCACTACAATGATAAATTAGATTTCTCTGGAACACATAAAAAGGAGGGTCCAAGCAGCCCATTTACGTACATTTCAAATTTTCAAGGGGTTATCTTTGGCTAATCAAAAGCATTACTATGTGCATACAAGTCTTACGTAAGGCCATTGGTTGAGTCCAGCACTACAGTATTCAACCCCTTCAAAAAGAAACACATCTACGCAATTG